CGTGGTTTCTGGCCATGTTGATAAACGTGCCCATAATGTCCTGTTGATAAACAACCCCAATTTTAGGTGATTATCACGGTATTTGCTTCAAACCCAATTCTAAGCAACATTGCACTCATTGACATTTTTCACACCTTAGTTAACAACCTTGTGTGTGCGTGTTTGTGCATCCATAGGACCCTCCAAAAACACTATGAAACCCCCCGGACTCCGGAGTAAGTAAAATTCAATTTATACACAGCGATCAACAAAAAATGAGAGTGATGCTGGCCGCATGTGGGCTGTTTTGGACTATACGTCAGGAAAGGCAACAGTTTGTGAGGTGATATTTGTGCAGAACGATTCAGAGAGGCTGAACTCGTAATCGAAAGTCTAATTATTTGCTCTACAACAAAAATCAAGCTGAAATAATTTTAGTAACAATGCAAAACCCTGGTCTGCGGATGCTCCAGATTCGAACAAAGTACAACGTGTTGACTTCATTGAGCCGCAAAATTGTGCAAGCACAGTTCTAGTCGGAGCTTTGTAGCTGCTCTGTCTTTCAGCCTTAAAGCGTCTAAAATGAGTGTATTGTGTATATCTAGAAAAAGCCGAGCCATCGTAAATAATGTGTTATTTTAAAGTCGCAATTAATTAATAATTCCAACATATCAATCAAGTTTTAAAACACTTGAGGTTAATGTTAACCACTTCCTATGTTTTTACGCATTTATCTATTGCTAATCTTGCTAATGAATAGCTTGCTTTGTGCGCATCGCAGTAGGAATGTTTCATTAAACTAGACAATTTTATTGTCGGATGGACATTGCATATTAAAGCGCCTACAGAAAAAGCGAAAAACCTTTACAGTGTCTACAATCCTTGAGCTTGTGTACACTGCTGCTTGTGAACTCCGCGCGCCTAACTCTCGAATATATTGTGAAGGTACATCAAATAATAGGACAAAACTTGTATAGAGCAAATATTGCTTGTAAATAAACGCATAATAGGGTGAGGCAGGCTCTCTGTTCACTGCAAGTTCTGCATTTACTGAAAGAAAAATATATCGAAGAAAAAACTTAACCTGCTGCTTATTAGACGCTGTAACGAGATCAAAACTTGCGATGAACCAAAAAAAAAAAAGATTATTATAATAGGGTGAGTTGCAAAACTTAATGTGACCAACTCAAGAATATTTATCAATATGACTCAGATTATCGCAATCTACATTTTCGTAGAGAGCTATTAAAGCAAAATGAAGCAAACGCAGTTTGTACTGATTTTCACCCGTATATGTTTGTTTTCTGACAGTGGACACCAGCCCGCCCGGCAGAAGTAAGTAAAGGACACGAGTGCTTAAGAAAACCGCTGTTCTGATACTAAAGCCACGGACAGATTGAGAATGGCAGAGAGCTGTCTGCAGTCGGAACTTCCTACCTTCAATTACACTTCGGCGTCTCCTGCGCCTGGAGCGTGCATGTGGAGCGAAAGAACGGCGAAAGGCAATGAGCACTTGCTGGAGACCGGGCCTTCGTAAGACATGCCCTGCCGTTCTTACCTTGTCAGTGGCTATTGCCGACATGTGTAGGTGTATGGCCGTGCATCAGGCAAAAATTAACGGTCTCTTGTTATGTTTGTACAAATTGCGTGTATTTGAATTACGGTTGGAGCGGTTTGAACTGCGACTTTGTGGGGAATGTATTCAACGCTATGGTTGCCCTGCCATGTTGAAACATTTCCCGAACATCACTAAATTATATATCAAAACAAAATACTAGCTCGCCCTTCCAGTTTCAGTGAGACTGCGGTGGTGTTCGGATAGCTAATTGTTCGGTTTTCACTGAACTCTAACTCAAATCTTCCGAGCACAAAAAAAAATTGAATTCAGTACAGCTGGTAGTGTGCTTATTTATCCGAAGCCCGTAATTAGTTCCGAGGACGCGACACTCTCGAGGATTCGGCGCTGAGTACTCCCTATATAATATATTTTACGCTTAATTGATCAATCTGGGGTAATGAATATTTGTAAATTGTAAGCGATGCCGCATACATTTTCGCAAGCCCATACAAGAAATTATATTTTATTTTTCATCGCGGCATGTTTAAAATTTTGTGTTGTGCGTAATACGGCGCATTGACTCCGAACCGAATATACCTTTTGCTAAAGCACCCAAGCCCCAAGGAGCATGCTGCGAGTGTAGTCACACGAGCAGCACATGCTGGCGTCTGCAGTAGTAGTAACTGTTCAAAAGAAAAAGCTTGAAAAACTTTTTATCTTACACGCGCGTTCGCCAACACCTTGTTTGGTGTTTGCGTGCACGCCAACACCAAACAGCTGGTGTGGTCTACGAGCTGGTGTGGGCTACCGCGGCAATCGGGTTAGCCCACACCAGCTCGGAGCACGTGGAGTGAAAGCTCGCGCTGCAAAACCCAGGAATCCTGGGTTCAATCCCGACCCCTGCCCGTTTCGATCTGATTGAGCATCGATCGTACCGGCGTGCGTTCCTGTACCACTACAGCGTGGTGTGCGTTAAAGACCCCAGGCTAGCTTTTGTACTGGACCGGCTAAACAGCTCATCAACAGCGAGTGACTCGTCGCGACTTTGAAATGGCTCACCAACTACACGCTGTATAAATATCCACATAACCGCAATTATTATTTGGGTGATTTACTTCGCATCTTTTATACGGACAACGCGAGCGCGTGAGGCGTGAAGACCTACACTTTCAACGTTCTCGTTGAGTCTTGGGTACTAATTTTGCAAAAGGTATATTGCTTTCTCATACAGGAGCTGAATAATCCTTTATGAATTAGAAGTTTTGCACTACTTGGAAGAATATAGCAATGCTTGTATATAGCACCTATGATATGCGCAACGTTAAAAGTAAGCTTTCAATTATAAGAGTCCCATGACATGTTATCGTGAAAAATCATGCTTATACTTTTAACGGTAGTTATTAATTTAACCTCAGAGGAGTTCAATATTAATTTTGCGGTGGCATTGCACACAGTATCTTTTTGTTTGAAAACAACTGCACTTGTTTTACTTTCATTTATTATCAAAAGAATGTAATGCAGTTCACTTGTTCAAATTTTCTATTAAAATGTTTGTATCATAAACAAGCCTATCAAAATTATTAACTTTAAAAAGACTAGTATCATCAGCATAAATTACAAATAAGATATTACTTGCAATATTGACTTAATTATTAATCAACATATTAAAAAGCGCAATGTTCTTAATTATAGGCTTGTTATCTATGAGCTGATGATTGATTGAGTTTTAAGATGGAATATGAGATGTGAAGCTAAGTCAACGTTTTGTTTTATTTCCAGAGTGAACTCTCGTTGGTTGCCTCCAGAGACATCCGATGGCGGATAGAATAGTCCCGAGGCTCTCGAAATTCTCTGAATAAAAGTCTGCATTATGAAACGAACCTTTCGACGTTATTTCTGTTCTCCTCATAACATTTTGCGTACGCGATTTTTTAGATTCAAAATTTTAAAATGATTTTTTTTTACTAATGTTAATTTTTAATAGTACCACTATCTTGAAAATCCTCAATTCGGACCTAAATTTAGCCGAAAAGACGCTAGCCGGTTAATCCAGCATCTCAACTGAAAAAGAAAAAAAATAAATAAAACATAATGAATTGGGTATGGTCAATTTAACAGTTAAATGTGTGTAATCGTTTCGGTTTTCCTGGAATTCCGGTTTCGCAATAACTATCACTGGTTTATCGTTTCCCAGAAACCAGATGAATATGCTTAAAAACGATAATAAATATGCATAAAAACCTGTTTTTTTACACTATATTGCTTTAACATTAAGAGCTTTGTTATAGTTTGACATCATGGAACTAAAAAAACTCTTTAGCTGAAGAGAAACAAGTGTAACATATATGGAAATACTTGCGTGTCAGTGTGCATCCCAATAGAGTACGCTACTGCAACGAAGAAGTAAGGAGCCGCAGCGGTTCCAAGGCAGCACTGGCCATTGGGCCAATATTGGGGTATATCTTGGAAAAATAGGGCCATGATTGGCCCCCTTTATCCCAACTATCCAATAATGAGAATTCGTGGGGATCCCATTGGATGAATTGGAGACTACTTGCAATGTGGTGACACTCAGCTTGCAATGTCGCCCAATATTAGACGGTCATTGGCACCCCAACGGATAACTTGGATACCATGCCGATAAACTATTAATAAACTTCCAATAAGATTCTAATGTTTTTTATCGTGCGGTCAATGGCACAGAATATGATAGATTGGAAACAATTTCTAATAAAGTGACAATAGCGTTCCATTGTTTTTTTCAATATTGTGTTGTCATTGGCATCCCATTGGATAAATTGGACCCAATTTAATATGAATTGCGAATGGGCATCCAATGTTGTCAAGTATTGGATAGTCATTGGCACCCTATGAATAAATTGAGTACTACGTCCAACAAAGTGCCAATAGGCGCTGGTCAGTCTTCGAGAAGCGCGCCACCGTCGATTGATCATCAGCGCCACCGTGGCCAAATGAGGCAACACTGGGAAGGTTAAAATCTGCAGCGCCGACGGCGTACCCTCCCGAGATTACGTTATCACAATACTCTAAGTGTTGTGCTAGCGCGCACTAGAAAACTGTTTTTAAAATGTACCAACGTTAAATACATTACTGTGTATGCGTGTGTGGTTCAACATTAGAAACTTTTAGCAGGGTGACTTTTCTCCCTCTGCCGCCAATAATAGGGCGTTTTTTTTTTTTTCGTTTCCCGCTCAAACATTTCGTCCGCGCCCCACTGCGTTGGCTGTTAGGAATCTGGCGGATTTTATTTTTCTTTTTGACGGGGATAAAATTAGTTCAGCGGCTAGCGGATTTTTTGACGAAACATTTTCATGCATGGCGAATTTCTCGCGGATACCTCGCGCAGTGTATCAACTCAAAATTTCCGGCGGATACCTCACACAGTGCATTAACTCAAAATTGTCATTCAAAACACAATTTCCGTGTCCCCTGATGAAACTGGCGCAACACGTGTCTCTTGAAACTATCCAGGATCGTAGACCAGTTGGCCGAATTGAGGGGGCACTTCGAGATGGCGAGGTGCACTGAAAAGTGCTATCTGGCAGAGATGCTGCATGGTATGTACGAATACCAGACCGATCTGGGGAACTTGCTTTTCCTGAGGCCCATCCTGAGAGGTTATCCAGAAGGTAAACAAGGCATTCGAGTTGAAAGACGTGGAACAGACAGCTGCTGAAAGACCTCATGATTTTTCTTTCAAGCTTGGCTCAAGAAGTGGTAATTCCGACAGAGCAGATGGGCGTTGTGACGTCCAGACATGAAGATTACTTGAACTCCACGCCATAACTGGGCTACCTCTTTGAGTCCTACGTTGACAGAATAAAGAATGACGAGTTCTCTCTCGCTGATGAAGTTGGAATGCCAGAAAGCTTGTGCATAAGATTTATTATTACGCTAGTGGATCAAATCAAAAAGCAACTTCCCTACAAAACGTCGTGGTTCTCCAGAAGACATCACTTTTATCGGCTCAAAACACTTCGTGCGTTCTGAAGGAGCCAGTGATTCCTCTGCCGGAAGCAATGGCAGTTCCCCCTGAAAAAAACCGGAAACACTCAACACCAGCGGGGCAACATTCTCCTTATTAACTGGGAGCAAATATCGTAGAGGCAGTCGTTCTTGTGTGAAGTTCACTCCTATAAGGACGCCTGTTGCGAAAATCCGTTTGCCGAATTGGTCGAATGTGCCATGTTGATTCCGGTGTTGCCCTACTCAAATTCCAAAGTAGAGAGGGCATTTAGTCAGATTAACGCCGTAAAATCCAAACTGAGGAACAAGCTGAAGCTTGAAACAACAAACGCCATCCTCGTCGTAAGAGCGAGGGTGAAGCGACACAAGAAAGGTTAGTTTGATAACGGTTATCAGTGCAATCGGGACATCTGCAACACATGTGCCACAAAGTCACCTTCCTGGTCTCTCAACAAGTATACCAGTGGTAATGTGGAGATGGGGCCAGACGACTACAGCGGTGACGAAGACATGCTCGATGTGCCTTCCTGTTACCTAAAAGCTTTTTTTCTTTTTTGCGTTAGTATAAACATCGATCAATTTTTTGCCTTATCTGTGATGATGTTGACGACAACCGCAGCACTCATGTATCTAGTATTTAGTTACCCTTTCTCGAAGACTCATTTATATGTTATTTCAGCTCTCACAGTTTGGGGTAGCTTTTAAATATTAAAAAGGTTTGTATCATACGAAATTCCACTGTATAAATAAAGATAGGTTTAAGCGGGAGATTTAGAGGATATGTTTAAAGTATTTAGTGGAATCGGACGAATTGTTTTATTGGTTTTTTGCTGATTACTAGCGCCCAGCGATGGCAACACTGGTCCCTTCGCAGCTCGCGGCTAAGCACTTCCGCAAGTTTCTGTGCCAAAACAACATGCAGCAATTATAACAACAAGAAAATTGGGTTCTGCTTCTTGCATTACGGCGGACCCGTTTTGCGGCCTCGTTTGGACCGCCCTTTACGGGTCTACCCACGTAGAGAAAAAACAATTCGGGGTTCTTCTAACACTAGTTTTCTTTTATTGTACTCTTTCGTCGAATTTCCTGGATCGCGCTACCCACGAACAGTCCACAAAGCCTTCCCGATAGTCCTACCTCAGGAGCACAAAGCAGTCCCACGTGGTTCCGCGAACTTCGCCTCACTGGAGCTAGCTGCCCGCGATCTACACTTCCAAACCACTGAGCTTCCTCTACTTCGTCCAGCCTGTATACCTAAAAGGAACAGAATACCAACCAATAAAACCACCTGGTTACGCAAGCGAAACGCAACTGTCAATCCAAACCAACCGCTACACTAATCTGCGTTGCTAACCCCATGCACGTGTAAAGGAGTGTGCAAACTGGCGGCGTGATCCGTGAATGGCTGATTGCTCCATCAAAAAAGCTTGACTTCCATTCTTTTGTTTTTCTGTTTGAGCACGACAGCGAGCCGTTGCCAGCCATGATGAGTCGGACAGGGCGAAGCGGTGTGATTGGCCCACCTTCTGTCCACGTGCTCGGTGCGTTTCACCGCGTGCGAGAGTCGGCCCGTTCGCCCCGCCGTGACGCCCGTCTCCACGTAAGCCTTGCCCAACGAAGCCTTGACCTTCACCCCGCTCCTGAACGCCATTGGTAACATCCAGTGGTTTCGACACGGAACACGTCATTTAACGGGACGCCGTAGCTTGGCGGGGCGTGTCGTGGCGAAGAGTGAAGTCTTTCCGGCATTGCAGAGAACTTCCTCCGGCTCGCCACGGGAATGGCACCGGTTCTCCCCCATTCCGTTCACTTTCCGTTGTCTTGAACGGGAAGTGGTTAGGTCGGCTAGGTCTTATCGAAGGTTACTCAAGCGCGTGTCTGAGCCATCCGAGGCCAGAGTGCCGTCCTGTATGCAGATGACCATCGCCGTTCCCAGAAGCGGTTTCTTGTCCTGGGTGCCTTGATTCTCTTGGGCTCTGGTAAGTTGCGCGTTTACATGGTTACACGGTTTACAGCTTAAACAAACAACCAAAAGAAGAAAATTAAAATGGCTTTTTTGGGACATGAAAATAATTTTTCCACAACATATGTTTTTTTATATAGTTACGCTGTTAGACGCAATTTAGGTGGAGGTAGCCCACCTTAGGCCCCCCATGAAAGTATGCTCTATTTCTCGGTGCTCATTGGTTGGAGAGATAATTGGCGAGTGGATAGTTCGTTGCAAAAATTGTTTCTCAGTGCCGTGATAGTATTCTTATCGACAATATATTTATGTCCGAGAAACAAATAATCTAAATAGAGTCATTATTGTTTTCAAATGTATCCCGAGATTGCCTTTTCCCAATTGATGAGAAACAAAAACAAGCATGGCTCTCGGCTTCCGCGGAGTGCTCAACGAGCGCAGGTGAGACGGATTTACACGTTCAAAGTATAGAGGCCCAAGACCGAAAGCTTCAACTCCTCCAGCATGTCCACCAGCATTGACACAATAGCAATTCCGTCTCCATCAATTTCCAAGACTAAAAGGTATATCGTTCCATGCTGCATCCACGCAACACACTATACCGACTCCATCGAAACTACCGGACGAATCGTCTTCGCACGCCCCCGGCAACTAGCTTCAGAGAAGCTAGCAATCGCAAAGAACGAGTTCGAAGAGATGGTCGAGCTTGGACTTGTCCGACCTTCATCGAGTAGCTGGTCGTCCCTCTTGCACATGATAAAAAAGAAACCTGAGAATGTGACTACCGTGACTACCGTGCACATAAAGAAACCATGAAGGCAATAGTAAAATTTTATTTGATGTTTGAAATGGGCGTCAGGCATGTCTCAAACACTGTTCACCAAGTTGCAGCCCGAACAGAAGTTTGGGTGCCGCACCAATCACTTAAACAGCTGTGGTAATATTTGCGCCGGGAACAATGCCTGAGACCCCCCTGAGATCGGGGCAGAAACGTGAACTAAAGTGCGCCGTCGAAGCGCGATGACAACGGGCTCTTCGTCAGGCGATTGGCTCAAACGGTTCAAGCAAATGACGCGCTCTTGGCTTCAAATTCGGTGGTGATATGTTATAAAAAAAAAGTAACTTGCACTTTGAATCAGTTTTCAAAGTTGTAGTTAGGAATTAATAGATTTCATAGCGTGTATAATGTAGGTTTCATAGCGTGTATAGCGTGTAGGATGGCAAAGAGGAAGACTTGTGGAAGTAAATGACAGCTGTATGCTGTGCTGGTCTTGAGATGGTGGTGTGTAAGTCCCTTTTTGTTTCCTTGTCTCAAGGTTTAATTTTTTTATTGCGATTGTTCACAAGCTCACCTGCGCTTTGACTCTTATTTCGCTTTGCGAACTGACGTCTCTTCAATTATCCCAGGGTTATCTGTTGTAGTAGGCTGCGCATTGTGTTCCCCTAACGGCGTTGCAGCGGCGTCGACGAGTACGGAGGATACACACTCGGAGGCGGCGACCGAGAAGTCGGTGGCCGGTCTGTGGCGCCCTCGTAAAGCGCCAATCCAGAGTTCTGCGTCCTGAGCAGCATCTCCTGTTCAGTCGGCGTGAGGTCGCTGAACGGGAGCTCCAACTCCTTTTCAAGAGCGGCGTTGTCGTCCACTTTTTACAGGTTTCCTTCACAGACCATCATCCACTATAACCAACCACGGGAACCACGCTGAGCGGCCACTAAATCCTAAGAATACCGACCATGCTCCTCGATGTCACTTCAGTTTCCAGAGGCGAAAAAGGAAAGAAATCTGAATGCTTGTTTCGGTTTCGCAAATTCATTTGCAGGCACAAAAAAAAAGTCACGAAGATCTAAAAAAAATTGACTGGCATACCAGGACACCACTGCGTCCGATATCACCTCCTTTAAAACACAAATTGAATTGCCTTCATGCTCCCCTTAACAAGACAATTAATTGTACCAGATCGCCATCCAATATCGCATATTCAGGATTTATAAAGAGCAACTGCAAAGACAGCCATCTTCACCAAGCTGGATATTGTGAAGACCTATCATCACATCCCCATTGCGCCAGAAGACATTCATAAGACAGCGATTGCAAACTCTTTCGGCTTCTTTGAACATGTGCGGATGCCTTTCAGCCTCAAAAACGCCGCTCAAACGTCCCAGCGCTTTCTGGACCAAGTGCTGCGAAATCTCCCTTTCTGTTTCGCATATCGGAGGACACTTTGGTGTTTAGCAAGACATCTACAGGTCACCATGTCACCTCTGAATGATCTTTGAACGTCTAGTGAAATTTGGGGACAGCATCAATGTGCAAAATGGACATTCGGCGTGTTCGAACTGGACTTCCTCGGGCACCACCAGGAACAAAACGGAATCAATGTCGTCGAAAGTTTAAGCAATCCAGGATCTTGCACGACCAACCAATGTCCAGCAACTCAAAGAATTCCTCGGACTAATCAACTCCAATGTCACTTACTCCCAGGACGCACTGCTGTACTTCGCCCACTTAATGCCTACCTCGTGGGAGTCAAGGCGAGGACTTCACCCGTGGCCTGGAGCCGCACAACCGAGGAAGCCTTCGTCAGGATCAAGGAGCAGTTAGACAACGTTGTACTTTAGACGCATCCCAGACCGAACGCTCCAACTTCTATCATGCCGATGCTTCGGACACAGCGAACGGCGCAGTTTGTCAACAGTTCAATCGTGGATCCTGGAGCCCCGTCTTCTTCTACTCCTAATCGCTGTACCCTACAGAGGTGAAATATAGTACTTTTGGACGCGAGTTACTTGCCACATACTCCGCTGTCAAGCACGTTGTCATTTGCTGGAGGGGAGACAATTCGTCATACTCGCAGACCACAAGCCACTAACGTATGCCACTGCTTCTCACAGTACTGCGCACTCCCCCCCCCCCCCCCCTCAAAAAAAGAAAAAAGTCGTCAGCTGGCATTTATATCAGAATTTACAACCGATAGATATATAATCAAATATAATTCAAAAACATTGTAGCCGTTACACTGTCGCGCGTTCACTTCGATCCGTCCTTCATGAATAGGGCGACCAGACGTCCCGTTTTGGCCGGAACAGTCCCGTTTTTCAGGTCCGCT